TCCTCCCACACTCCAAAGGCATGCTGATAGGTTAATTGGCTACTGTCTAAATTGACCCTAGTATGTGAATGAATATGAGTTAGGGACCTTAGATTGTATGCTGGGGACTGATGTGAATGTACAATATATATATAAGTGCTGTGTAAATTGGCAGTGCTATATAAGTTCCTGTAATAATAATATCCCATTCCTGAGCATGAAGAAGATGTAAGGTGTCCCTGGCCAGCCTGGCAGGGGCTATCGGTGAATCAATTACCTGTTTCACGCAATCCACTGATCATGGTCTCAGTGCTTTAAGGGCTCAAATGCAGAAAAATAATAAATGCACATTTTTTCTTTTTTCAATATGCATTTTTTATTTTTTAACATTGGAGTAAGCCTTTCCATGTCTGTAGCCTGGCCAAAGTTCTACTTTAGCTAAGTCCTCATTTGGACTTTGTATAATCCTTATAGAAAGTATCCACAGTACATTACGATGATATGACACCCCATGAGGTTGTTCAATGTGTCCTGGTGAATGGGGGCCCCCAAGCATATTAGTTTGCAAAATACAGCTGATCAGATGGCTGCGACTCCAGAACAGGTTTGCTCGTTACTGTTCTAATCTGTGACAGCCACATAGCGACATGTAAAGTATCCAAAACCTAAAACACTCATCTGTCTCAGAAGTATTGGTATCACACATGAAAGAACACGTTTCCTCATCCCCACTCATAAAAAGTTGGAGGTATTTAGGATTTTGCTATTTTATTACAGCTGCCTTTCATGTGTCCGATGTTGAACAGGCAAGTCCTTCCGTCTCCTGTTTCACCAGAACTTCTCTGTGATTGTATTTCAAAGTGTTCCTTTCTCCCGGATGGCGGCTATTGTTCCCTGCTCTCTCAGTGCTTCGAGTGATCATGGCCCAAGGTGCGTTCACCGAACGAATGGCTTTCCACGTAAAAACGTGTTCCAGTTTCAGCGGGTGACTACAGAAGAGGAAATAGGTCAGGTTTATTGGCAGGCTGCGCGTGTGGCTATGGACAGGGCCGTATATAGGATTCATGCTGCCGTCCGCCTGCGTGATTGATGTGCCCTTTCATTAAGGACTCCCGCCCCTTTTCTCAACGACCGTGCTGTGGTATTATAATAATGAAGGAAGGAGGCTTGCTTTATAAACAGAACTCTGGCAAGAAATCATAAAGAGAACCTGCATTGTACTTGAACCAAAAAACACCTTGTCACTTCACTAAGCCGCTTCTATACAATCTTTTCTCTCCTTTTTGCTCGGTCGTTTGGAAAAGTCCAACTCCAAAAAAAAAAGATCAAAATGAATCGTCTATTAAAAATAAAATAATAAAACCAGCTTATGCTGCAATATTCAGCTTTAGTTCAGCTATTTCTCCTGAAGTACTTCTTTTTGTGGCAAGATGTCCTCAGTCTGATGGTCAACATCATTCAACGCACTTCCTCTGAGCCCAGGTCATCTTGGACCTGCTTCCAGCCTGTCACTGGACAGTGGAAGGAGAAGCAAAACAGTGATGAGCTCCTCTCTCTCACTCTGTTTTCTCCTCCTATCAGGATGCTCCTTGTCAGCACATGAACTGATTGTGCTGCTGTTTCCTCTCAGACTCCATGCCTGCTGATAGCTGATCACATTCAGATACTTACACTGCTTGCATTTAAAGGGACACTAAACAATATCCTTATTCGCCAACAATCATACATACACATCCTCTACTCTACGGCCCTGTAATCTATTTTTCATGAAATTGTTTCTTATTGTTCTTTATGGTCTCCTTGACATATTCTCCATTAGCTCCCAAACCTTCTCACTTCCATTTGTTTGGAAGGAGCATTGCATGTAAGTTGTGGTAGGGCTTTTTTTCAGTTCGAAAATGGGGCAATGCAGTTCTGGCACCTCTAGCACTGAATGTATATAATTGCAGGGGGTGCTGGGGTGAGCTGGAGGGTCTACTGGTGCTTGCTGCTACGGGATTTATTGTTTCTGGAGGGGACCTGTTTTTGCGTGGGGGTGGCTTATTGTTGCTGGTGGGGGATCTCTTGTTGCATGGGGGTCTCATGTTTCTAGGGAGTCATTTGTTGCCGGGAGAGATCTACTGATGAGGGATGAGTCTAATATTGCTGGCTGCTGGAGGGTCTATTGATGCTGTTAGCTGGGAGATCTGTTGTTGCTGCCAGGGGTCTATTTTTGCTGTGGTAGATCTATTATTGCTGGGGGGGTCTGTTGTTGCTAGCTGCAGGGGATATATTTTACTGATTTTCTTGTTATCATTAACACATTCTATACAAATTACTTAGCACCATAAAATGATACTTGGTTCTGTATTGTCTAGGAGGGGCAGTACTGGGAGGTGGGTAGATTGTAGAACCAAGGGACGGTACTCCGACATGGGTAGGAGGCAGAGACAAAGGTGAATCAGAAGAAGGAGGAGTTCCTGCGCCTATACTATGAGGAAAAAAAGCCCTGAGTTGCGGTAATGTGTCCCTGCTGGACCGGCCAAGATTGGAACCATCTATGGCCAGCATTATCTTCATGTGCCACAGTTCATGTGCAGGACTCTTGAAAACAGTGGTACAGTGTAAATCTGCAATAAAAACTTCACATCAGGTTCCAGTTTAGACATTAACTGGAGTTCCATTAAACCAGCATGACGTTTCAGGAAATTGCAACCCACTTCATGAAGGTAACAGACAGATGTTCTGTCTGTTACATTCATAGAGGGGGTCATAGCGTTCCCAAAAACATAACTTTAGTGTAACAGAACCCCAGTAAAGGTCTGAACTGGAAGCTGGTGTGCTGGCTTTCTTATTGCAGGTTTTTCTTGCGGTGTCTCTGTCAGGGAGATTTACCTTCTCTATTTGTCCTGTTGACCATTATTATCAGTATGGAAAGGGGCATGGATCCAACATTTTATAGGTGTCCCTGGAACAGAAATAGAAGGGAAATCTTCCAGTGGGAAAGCTATCTAAGAGGAAATTCCCCCTCGCTGGGCCAAAAACCCCCCCATAAAAACGCAACAAAAAACACATCAAAATGCCTTAAACCGCATGTGCAAAAACGCACTACATAAAGCACTGCAGATATGGATTTTAAGTGAAGGGAAATCTATGCAACAGGGCATACACAGCATAAAAAAACCTGACAGGGGTTCCAGTTATTTCCTACTCTATCATTCGACAACACACTCTCAGTTCATCAATGAATAACAAAGTAGAAAAATGAACACAAAGGGTATGTCCAGCCAAAACCCAAATTTACCCACTGAAACCTCTATTTTCGTCTCTAGAGCAAGGTCCCAGTGTTATTTTGTTTGCTTACTCTGTAGTGAGAAACTATTTTTATTACTCCCTGTGATATCTCTCATCACTCATGTGATAGGTAGAGGTTATTTCCTACCGAATTCCTACTGAGGTGATGTCATTTTAGTAGGTGTCCCAGTTTATTTGGCTAAACCAGTGACCAAAGCAGACCTTGTGCTATTGTAAAATTTTAACAGCAGCATTTCCGAAAAATATTTTCCCAAGACCATCTCTCCCAGTCCAGCATTACTAAGCCCTGACGAACCCCCTGAAATGAATAGGCTGTTTTTATAATATTACTGCGTTGAATAAACATTATCTAGACCGCCAACCATACTTTGGCACTGTCTTTTTCAACAAACATTGAGATGCCACTTCAGGGGCTGTTTTTAGGGCTCATCGTGCACTTGGTTGCTACTTCAAAAAAGCTGTCATATCACTTTGTAATAGTCACCAGGTGGAGCACTCCACCACTCCAGTTCTTAATCTTCTTACTTGTGTCAGGGAATGACAGCTGTTTAAGATGACACCCCAGCTGGAGTTCCTGTACATGCTTCTCAAAAGGCTCAATAAACCCTGTGAGCAAGAGGTAGAGAGAGTTTCCTATCAAATTACTACTGAAATTATACCATGTTTGCATTGTGCTAGGAACTCATCCTATTCAGATGCTTTGACTTGCGCTCAACAAACCACTGAAGGACTTCTGCTCGTAGGGTTTGAACAGGGAGTGAAGGACCACTTCAGGTTAATTGAGCAAAGACTAATATAGGTGAGCCTTAGCTATGATCTTAAACATCCATCTTCTTTGTATCTCGATGCTGTCCATTTGACATTTCCCTAATGGACAATTTCTTCACCTGAGGAAGAAGCAGCTTATGTAGCAGGCTTGATGCTCCTACGGATTGTTCTCATTTTACCATGTTAACCTATTGCACTGTGTTAGTAATTATTCCACATGTTCTTGATGAGAGAATTTCCTGAAACATAAATTGCTGGGAATATCTGGTGATCAAAAAGGGAGGAACACTGCTTGAAAGCAATATTTTTGCATAAGATTTAATATGCATCTTGACATAGGCACAGTAAAATTCCTTTAATCCCAAAGCTAACAGTTTGGTAATGGGTTTGGGTTTCTTGAAAAATTAGCAGTCAGCAAGAATATTCCCAATCAATAAAATCCCGAACATTTTTCAATCTCAGAAAAAAATACTGGTCTCTCTTGCTGCCTCTGACCCCATTGGGAATAGTTCCCCTCACTTCCTGTGTGGTTCTAGATACAGGAAGTGAGGAGACTTTATTCTTCAATAGGATCCTGAAACACTCCAAGCACTTTTGTAGTAGAATTGGGAAGGGTTAGAATGTCTTTAATTTGTGGAGATTCTCTTCACCTCCTGTGTTTCCACCGGTATAGGAGGAGAGGGAAAAATCCCCCGAACTGGGACAAGGACAGAAATAAAAACCTAACAGGGTTTCCAAACCTTCCCCACTCTATCCAAAAAGAAAAAAAAAAAAAAGGTTTTAAATGGCATTTCAGTAGCAGTCCAACAATAAAACACATCTGAGAATCCACATCTGCCTGGTCTCATGAATGCTGTATTAAAGGAATTTTCTTGTACATACTGGAAACAAAATTTGTACACTCAATTTTAAAAAGGGAAATAAGTCTCATTTATACTGGCATACAAAAGATATGGGTCCTATAAACTGTTTTCGGAAGACATTAGTCCCCCCCAGCCAAAGTCGTGGCCGGTCATTTGGTAGAACTTCATATTGTACGGTCTATAGAAGTCCTGGAGACGTAACAAGAGTCTCTGGTCTATATCTGGATGTGGCCGTCCCTTGGATTTCCCTAGACACCGTGGCTTGCTGCTTCCCTCTGGTTTTTTCAGGCACGGAAAGCCCTTGGTTTTGTTAAAGTAGAAATGTTTGTCTGTTATCACCCTCTTTAGCCCCAGAAAGTCTTGAACCCTTTCCATCTCTCCAGCTGGGTCACTGACCAGTCTTTCCCCGCTGACAAAAAGGAATTTGGAAAGAGGGAAGTACTGGAGCCAGTTCTCTAAGTGCTTAGCATAGATGCCAATTCTTATGGCACTCCAGGAAGTGTCAATGGTGCCCGTGCTGGTGTTTTTAAAGGCCAAAGCTTGAAAGGTTGGAAGTGATGGAGTTTTAGAGAGAGTCTGTGTGTAATCAGAGATAGCCCTGGTCACCGGATTCCTGACCACCACAATAAGTTTGGTGTCCTTGGACATGTTGTAAATCCTTTTTGGTGCCTCGAGGGTTACAAAGTAACTTGGGGTCTTCTCCATAGTGATCTGCCCCTCTAATGTCCGTGGCATCAAGTTTCTAAAAAAAGAAGACAAGAAGAATGATTAGTTGTATGCAGACAGGGATTTTCTAATATTATGAAAGAAAACATGATCCAGGTAAGACCAAGAGGATGGAGAGATACCAGGTATATACCACCAAATTTTTCTTTTGTTTACCATAATAAATATAATTATGGTCCCTGACAAGAAACATCCAATATTAACTCCATTGTAAACCTGTACCAGCCACCAGCAACTTGTAACCAGCTACAGTAGGTAGGTGCACATCAGTAATTTCACACGATGGCATTGATTACCTGAACAGATAACAGATGATAACAGAAATTTCTTAGCGGGATGACAAAAGAGGTATTGGAGAAAATATACTCATAAAATCTCATCTACCAGTACTAGCAAATTTGAAACATTTATTATTTAGTATTCTGTATCAATATTAGGTAATGTGAGTTTGTTTTTTCTTTAACCCTGTTCCTGCCTGCTCCAGTATCCCTTTAACCAGTTCTGAATGTAGGGGGGGTGGAAAGGATCAGCGATCATGTGACCACTATCACAGTGGTCACATAATCAGAAGCTGTTCTCGCTGGCTGCCGATCTTTAGTCCAGACCTAGAGCTGTCTTCACCAGGTCAGTATTTGTACTGGGAGCACTCAGGATCAGCACATATACGTTGTCATGCAGTCATACATGGGTTAAAGCAGAACTCCGGTCAAAAATAACAAAAAAAATTAAAAGCCAATTAAAAGATAAAATAACAAAACCTGCTTTTCTGCAATATCCACCTTCATTTCAGAGACTGCCCCCTCAGTACCTTTTTTTTCTCCTGCTAGATGTCCAGACTCATAGCCAGCATAACTTAAAGCAGAGCTCCACCCAAAAGGGGAAGTTCCGCTTTAAGGACTGCTGTCCTGCTCCCCATTAAGGATTGGCACCTTTGGGGGGGGAGAGGGTGAGGGGATACCCAGATTTGACAGGTACCCGCCCCCGTTTCTGGTCCAATCGCCTAGGCGATCGGAAGCGGAAGGTGTCCTCCCTCCCTGTAGTCTTTTGGGACATGTGACAGGTCCCAGAAGACTACAGGACCATTCATGAAGCTCAGCGCTACTCGCGCATGCGCAGTGGGTACCTGGCTGTGACGCCGCAAGCTGTCACAGCCGGATGCCCACACTGATGATGCCGGCCTCCTGGATTACAGGACACACTGGGGACCCACCGCGGGACTGAGGAACAGGTAAGTGGCTGTTTTTTTTAAAAGTCAGCAGCTACAGTTTTTGTAGCTGCTGACTTTTATTTTTTCACAGGGTGAGTGGAACTCCGCTTTAATCTACTTCCTCTAAACCCAAGTCATCCCGGACTCTGCCCTAACGTGTGACTGGACACTGAAAGGAGAAGCAGCACAGTGATGAGCTCATCTCTCTATCACTCTGATTTCTCCTCCTATCAGCATGTTTCTTGTCAGCACATAACCTGATTGGTAACTTGTGCTACTTCTTCCTCGTACACTCCAGCCTTGCTGTACAGGGACTGCAACATGGTGATACCAGGTCAAATTCAGGTTCTTATACAACCTGCATTTAAAAAAACAAATTAAATTTTTGGGATTGCAAAGACATTTGGTGTACACAAAGTGGATTTAGTATATCCTTTGTGGCTGCCAAGGAATATATTTCAAGAAAGTTTTTGTGGCTGGGGTTCCACTTTAGGTTTTCTGCAGGGTTGAATGATGCAGAATTATACTAGGCATATACACCTAGATGCTTCTGTGAATATCCAGTTACCTCTGGCCATAGTCAGCTCTGTAATTCCAGCTGGTGTAAAGGGAGCGCTGTAATGAATAGCACTATTTTTATATGAAAACGGTTGATATAAAAAAAAGCTGTGTTCTCACTTTCTGCTCCTCGGGGACCTGAGATTTGAGGAGTTCTTGAAAGACGGACCTCAGCCAAATCTAATATTTGTTGAAACAGTAACCTGTGCGGGGGGATTCCTCAAGCATCAGCAGATAAAGGAGAGCGTACACGACATTTCCATTGTCACAGCCATCTCCGGACTATCAGATAATACGCCATTACTGCTGTCATCTGATACCCAACATGTGCAATAGGCAGCCAATGCTGTAATTAAGCTTTCATTCTCCATTCAAGGCTCTTACACAGACGAGATCCAACTGTATTGACTGAACTTTACTCCATTCACCAGCTGTGGACGAGAGCATAAGTACACTACAGATGCTTGGGGGGTTGTCACTGTAACCTTATTGTGGAGAATGAATGGGATATGGATTTGGAATGTGTGAAGGAATGTGGACTAGACTAGAACAATATTCAGCAGTACCATAAGCACACGTGAATCCTAACAGGCTCCATGGTTTTTGTTGTAAATTATTTTATATAATTATATTTTTAAAAAAAATACTTCCACAAGCTACTACAGGTTCCTGTCATCTTGAACCCCTGTGAGGAACTTCAAAAATTGAAACCAGTCCTTATGAAATTCCAATTTACCCTAATGACCTAATTTTCAGACAGCCACTAAACAAACCATTTGGAAGACTATCCAACACACACTGGTTGAAGTCAAATCTAGAATGTATTGAATTTTCTCCAAAGAAAAATTAGAAGTGAAATTTAAGAAAATTTGGGACCTATGGATTACCTATTTTTCCAGGCAATTTTGACCACTGTTTACTTGATTTACGAGCCCTCTGGGTGTTGCACTCTGAGAAGACCTTGGTCTCTTCTAACAACTCCAGGGTACCCACCTACCCTTACCCCTTATCTCCCTGATCCTAATCTCCCCCTACTTTTTCCTTACCTTTCCATTCCATGCCCTTCTATTCTTGAAATTCCATTATATGCCCATAATTCCATCATTCCATTCTATGCCTTTCTAATCTTGAAAATTGAGTTACTCCACCACACTGTTATCCCTTGTACTACACAAGTCTCTCTTCTCTTATTAATACCTGCTGTAAACTCTGAAACTTTAGAAAATTTTGAAGAAGAATTAAGCAAAAAAGAAATGAAAAAAAAAAAACCCAAAAACACAAACAAAAATTTTAAAGGGGCAGACATGACTGACCCCTTGGTCCATTTCTGCTGTGACTTTTCTACAGTTGTGTCCAAAATTATTCAACCCCCAATGCTGTAAAGGGGTTTAGGGACTATAGTGTACATTTGGAATTGTATTCAGAATCAAATCCTACAAGGACGTTGTAACTACCCAAATGCAACTAAAATGACATCAATTGTTTATGTAATACAGTAGTAAATGGTTCTTATGTGGTTTCTTCATTGCCACAATTATTCAACCCCTTAAAGACTACCACTCTGAAGAACAGAGGTTCATACAGGTGCTTTCCATCAGGTATTGAAAACACCTGTGGATGTCACCGAGCAGCAATCAAGCATAATAAGCACCAATTAGGCAGCTTTAAAATGACTGTGATACTCAGCTCCTTCTAGACATTTACTGGTGTGGTTACAAACATGGTGAAGGCAAGAGAATGGTCCAGGAAGACAAGAGAAGAGGTGATTTCTCTTCACAGGAAGGGCAATGGCTATAAGAAGATTGCAAAGATGTTAAACATACCAAGAGACACCTTAGGAAGCATCATTCGCAAATTCAAGGCAAAGGGCACTGTTGAAACGCTACCTGGTCGTGGCAGAAAGAAGATGCTGACTTCGACTGCTGTGCGCTACCTGAAGCGTAGAGTGGAGAGAAGTCCCCGTGTGACTGCTGAGGAACTGAGAAAAGATTTGTCAGATGTGGGTACAGAAGTTTCAGCCCAGACAATAAGACGCACACTGCGTAATGAAGGCCTCCGTGCCAGAACTCCCAGGCGTACCCCCTTGCTGTCTCCAAAGAATAAGAAGAGTCGACTGCAGTATGCCAAAAGCCATGTGGACAAACCACAAAAGTTGTGGGATAGTGTTCTGTGGACTGATGAAACAAAATTAGAACTGTTTGGGCCCATGGATCAACGCTATGTTTGGAGGAGGAAGAACAAGGCCTATGATGAAAAGAACACCTTGCCTACTGTGAAGCATGGTGGAGGGTCAATCATGCTTTGGGGCTGTTTTGCTTCTGCAGGTACAGGGAAGCTTCAGCGTGTGCAAGGTACCATGAATTCTCTTCAGTACCAGGAGATATTGGATGGAAACGTGATGCAGTCCGTCACACACCTGAGGCTTGGGAGACGTTGGACCTTTCAACAGGACAATGATCCCAAGCATACCTCCAAGTCCACTAGAGCATGGTTGCAGAGGAAAGGCTGGAACATTTTGGAGTGGCCATCGCAGTCACCAGACTTAAATCCGATTGAGAACCTCTGGTGGGACTTAAAGAAAGCAGTTGCAGTGCGCAAGCCTAAGAATGTGACTGAACTGGAGGCCTTTGCCCATGAAGAATGGGCGAAGATACCCGTAGATCGCTGCAAGACACTTGTGTCAAGCTATGCTTCACGTTTAAAAGCTGTTATAACTGTAAAAGGATGCTGTACTAAGTACTAAGATTGAATGTCACTTGGGGGTTGAATAAAACTGATAATGCTGTGAGCACAGAAAAGACATTTGTGGTTATTTCATTATAACTGTTATGTTATATTTGTCTGACCTACAAGTGCCTCTTTAATGTAAATGTAAGCAAGATGACTGAATGATCAAAAGCAATGTCAAACTGGCCAAAACACTCAATTTCAGTGGGGGTTGAATAATTTTGGACACAACTGTATGTTTCTGTTTCTATAGTAATGAAATTAGAACCATAATGTACTATTTTAGATGTCTGCATAAATCCAGGAATCAGTTAAGTACACAGATACACAATAAATAACACAAATAAAATATACAAGCTGTCTTTCCTACAGAATGGGCTTTTTAAAAGCGCTCTGATTGCCAATCAAAGCCCCTGTCACTAAATAAAATGGCACTTACAGCTTTTGAGGGGCTTTTATTCAGCGTTAGCTTTGCTTTGTTTTGGCAATATTGCAGGTTTGAGATCTCACTTCCAGT